GACTATTATAGAGTTACACTACATATTACACATGTTCCACAAGCCAAAGTTTAATTCTGAAACTTGGTTGCGTCACACCGTCCGTAGACTTACCGCTGTAACCCACAAAAAATTTTCCGGCACGTGAATTTAGCCAATTAGATAAAAGGATCAGGTGTAACGTGAAAATCGCGTCTTTTTAAAAAATCGCTAATAACTCGAAATTTTGCCTATGAAACTTCTAACAAAAAAAAAAAATTCCTTGTGAAATTTTGGTACAAGCTATGTCCTCACTCAGCCTTATTCCTACCCTAAAGATGAAGCTTATTACTTTAAAATCTTTCTCTTAATTCGATTATTTTGATTTTACGTTACACCTGGTCCTTCGATCTAATTGGCTAAAAATCACGTTCCGGAAAATTTTTTGTGGGTGAGTTACCAGACTCTAAAAATACGAGTTCCTGCTATCGCTATGCTTTTAACCAGGGTTTACTTATTTGTGCTGGTAAATACAAGCACCTAAAAAGGAAATAACCGATCAGCGAGTTCAAATTTTGATCGTTCCGGATTAGCTCAACATGAATTCCGAACAATAAAAAAGCGTAAATACTCAAAAACTAGACTAATTAAAAATGTCGGGGACGAAACTTTACATATAATGGGTAAAAGTCTATGGATATAACTTCTATGTTAACGTCCTAACGCTAACCCTAAATTTGATTTACAAAATTAAATTTCCTTTTTGGGCACAAATAAGTAAATCCGCCCCTAACGCTAATTTGATATATTCATTGACTGGAATTAGATGATCGACCTCTCAACCAGTGTTGGCTGTTCAAATGACTAATGACCAAATGAATTGGTCATTTGGTCATTTTACATTTGAAATGACTAAATGACCTAATATGAGTGTCTCCAAGAGAGAACATATACATTTATATATAGGCATATTTAATTTCTTTTGGCGACACTCATAAAAATTATACACACATTTGCTTGTATCTTGTTGGCTGGCATATTGTCGATAAATGACATGATCAAAGCGATTTTAACATATCTGATATCGATATTAGATGAACAAATGACAAATGACCTGGTCATTTGATCATTTGGTCATTTACCAACACTGCTCTCAATGGGTCATTAAGTAAAAAACACGCGACATTTTATTTACACGCAAATTGATAAATAAAGAAATTTACTATTTATAAACCTCGATAAAATACAGTTAATTGTGATTCTTCAGGCTCTTTGCATAAATATGACACATCAAAACTAACTGTACCTAAAAGCAGACTATTTATCGTTACATGCATATTGATAAACTTAGTTTTCTTTGAGAATGATAATTTTAACTTATCTTCAATGAGTTAGTTGCCTTAAACATCCTATATAAAATGATTGAGGTTTCTAGACTGTACGGACACAATGTACAGTTGCCTCCGAAAGTTTGTCACGGTTACACAAATATTATGATTAATTATTTGAGAAACTTTAAATATAAGAAGTTCTTGATATAAGAAAGATTTTACAAATCCTAATTGAGAAATTTTATCTTTAATATAAGAAAGATTTTGGCTGGGCCCAGTTTTATACCAAGAGTCAGTTGTATTCATTTATATTTTATTACTTTGCGCGCAATATATCGTTGATTTGGATATCGATATTTGACTATGTTTTTGTGTAACCGTGACAAATTTTCGGAGGAAACTGTACAAGACTAGAGATGATATCGTGTGAAAATATATAATTAATCAAATACGTACACGGATTTGTGTACATCATTTAACTCTTATATAACCATCATTTCATTGCACTCCAATTCTAAATTAGGTAGAATTCCTTTTCGGGTAACATAAAGAGTCCATATTACTGATTAAATATGATATTTAATTACGGATAAACTGCATTCAAAGTTGATTTATGACATTACTTATTGTAGGAACAGCAACCAAAATATGTTGATTTTAGATCATTCTGATCTGAAAAAACAAATCAACTTTGAATTCGGCCAGATAGAAATAACATTGTTTATCTGAACGCATATATGGATATTACAACTATTACACGTAATTTTAGAATGAGGATGAGAAATACAATTAAATCTTAATTATATCTACATATGACAAATCTCTATTCTATAGTTGCATAATTAATAATTATATGCTAAGAAAAAGCAAACAAAGAAAGGTAAGAAAATTAATATGACGAAAATGGAATCACCGCTAAATTTGGTTCTTGTACGCTAATTATGCTGGAGAAATTTAAATTCTAATCCGATGGATGAATAAATTTAATCATTCTCAATATTCTATAAATTACCGCACAATACAATGCAATAAATTGACTCTGCAAAATTAGATCTTTATAAGAATCTCATCACGAAATGGACAAAATGCTTAAACGTATCAGTAAGGCCAATTACAATTTTTTTTTATTTCTTTATGAGCGAAAGCCTTTAAATAAATATTGTAGCCTTATCCCAGCGACACCAATATTCTTCCTAACTATATAGAAAGGTCATATGATCCTTACTTCGATTATTATCAACGCTAGATGCATTTACTAGTTTCCCCAGGTTTCCTGATTCCGGTATAACGTCACATTAATCTTAAAACTTTCCAAGAAAATCATTCGAATATCGATATTAGCAAAAAATTCCTTCCAATTTAGTATATCATTGTCTGCTAACTCTAACCAAAATGCATATGTAGAAAGGTGACATATAAATAGTCTTAACCAATCAGAAACTGGAGAAATTAGAAATGGTGTTTTAGTTAGCATGAACATCAGCAAATAGATCATTTTGTATACTTTTATACCTTCGCATTCTTCATTAGGCCACGAAAAGTTGATTTTTCGTTTTGCATTACCCGCCGACCCATTTTTTTTCAAATTTTCAATTTTTTTTTTAAGTCCCAATTGTGCCAATTATTCTATTTTTGCCATTTAAATTTTTTCAAAAAATCAATCCGTTATTACCCGATAGTGACTTATTTTCCGAAAGTATCCGATAGAAATGACTTAAAAAAAATTCGACTGTCAACCCAATTTTCTGATTTCATGTTATAAAAAGCAAAAAAATAACATTTTGCGACCTTATATGTGAATATGAGCACATTAATTCACAGTAGATTAGAAAAAAAAAATTCCGACCGACCGACCGGGAATTTTGAAATCCATGTAATGCAAAACGAAAAATCAACTTTGCGTGGCCTTATAGAAATTTATTAATTAAGTTTGATCAAACATAATACCGGCACGAAATTCAGTTTTAAATACAAGCACTAAAATAAGCCTGAAGCATGAGTGTAGAATGATAAAAATATTTTATTGTTATATTCTAATGTATACATGTATTTACATTAAACCTACTTATAGGACGAAAAAATAAACAACCTGATAGTACACCAGAGTCATCGATCAAAGAATTTTCAAGTCCACCGCCTGAAGATTTTTCAAATTATCATGGCAATGACTTAGTTGAAATCATTCCTAGATTATACCGATTGCTTGACCTATGCGAAGATAATAACACAAATAGTACATATCTCAATGTGTTAAATATGAGATTGTAAATAATTTGTTTTATTTAAAATCTTTATTTTTAATAGTTGACAGAATCATAATTTCGAAGGAACAATTAAAGAAATTTTGCAATGATATGGTGCCATCAAGCTTCAAGTCATTTTCAGATTTAAATTATGACGCGTTGAACTCAAAATCAATCAAACTCGTTGGATGTTATGGAAATTATATTTTGATCGCAAAACTTTTGTTAAATATAAATATAATTGATCGAAGGATGTACGTATATTTTTATACAGTATTTATAATATGTTAGAGATAAGTAATCTTACGTATAACTTTTTTAGATTTGAATTGCTCACCCAATCAAATTCATTAAATTTGGCCGAATCATCTCCCTTTCTTCGTCCCGGAATTTATTTACTCATGTTAGAAAAAGATTTTGGCTTGGTATTTTATTGGCCAGAAAAAGATTATTATTATTCAAACTCCCCATTTAAGCAAAAGGAAAATATGGCTAATTTGCATAGGTAAATAATATAATCTTTTCGCAATTTTGAATTAGAAAAAGAATCTTGACAAATATTATTTTTCTGCAGATGCTTTATCAAACTTACTGATCGTCAACTTTGTCTAATGAATAAACAAGACTTGGAAAATTTTGAGTGGGAATTGTCACACGATAATTCTGAATGTGAAATCAAAGATGAGAAAGTCCTAGAAGATTTTGAATTTCTTTCGGGATTTCAGGTTTGAATTTACTAATTCTAAAGGATTCTTGAACGAACTTGGGATTAGTATTCACGTGTGTACATTTTTTCTTACTGTAATATTCAGATTGATTTAAAGCACGGCATAAAAAACGTCCAAAAAGGATTAACTTCACATGAAATGTGTAAGATTTATCACTATTCGCTTCTATTTAATAATTAATTTTTATATTCAATTTTTCATTTATTTTTAGTGATAGAATCAACTTCATTTCAAGCGATCGTGACTCAACAAATGATTACTGAGCCTCCAAGATGGACCAAGAGATCCATAAACTTAAACAACGATAATTTTAAATCCTATTTTGGTGAAATGGTTCTCAATTACGGATTACGGATAAATCATACAACTATGCATATGAAAGACCTAGAACTTCTTGTTAGATTAGGATTACCTCACATGGAGAAAGAACTTTTAGACCCACTCCGATCCAAATTGAAAGAATTACAAGATAAAATAGATGAAAAGAAAGCCAAAGAAATGAAAACTGTCAATGAAGATGCTGATGTTTTTAAACTCTATGCCCAGAATAAATTAGAAGAATTATACGGGTATATTATATAATGATATAATTTTTTTTTTTTATTAACCGCTATTGTTATTTGATAATTAATTTTTTTTTTTTTTTTAGTGAATTTGAAAGAAGATTCCGACGAGAATCCATCAATAATCAAGATTTTCCAGTATCGAATGATTATGCCAATCAAAGAGGTTAGAGAGCTCAAATGGCAGTTTTGCTTTACGAAGTATTTGATGTTTTGCTTAAAGAAAACCTTTATTATTATTTAGAAAAGTATCCTGACAAATATAAAGAAATTGATTCTGATCTAAAAATTGACACTATAACATGGGTGAACTTAAAGAAACAGTATATTTTTGCAACTATTTTTGTGACAGAGATTTTATCTAAAGGCGGCGGCAAAGAAATTACAGCCTCAGACTTATATCAAGAAATATACAAAATGTTCACTGACAATGAAAAAGATTATCAACAATTAATAAAACAATTTATTGATAAAAATAAAACTAAATTCTTACCCAAGTTGAAAAAGAAAGAAAGAAACCAAATTATTCTACTTCATGCCGACTATAAAGAGAAAATAGAAACATTAACGACAAAGCCTGATCATAAATTTGTCGAAGAGGTCTTAAATACAGATGCTGGAAACCTCTATCATCAGAAACAAACAATTATTGATATTTTTTTTGAAGAATATAAGAATTGGAGAGAAAAAACTTTTCCAGATATCATTAATAGATTAAAGCCAAAATTTTCGGATCAACGAAGATGGGAAAAAAAAGTAAAGGAATTTGATGATATTAAGAAAAATATTGCGCAAACTGAATTTCTAAATGTTTGTAACAAAATTGAAGAAAAATATAATTTAAGGTAATCTTTATACAGTAATTTTATTTTTTGTATTTTATATATTATTTAACAGGATTTTTTCTCTATTTTTTTTTAGCCCTTTCATCAAAATCTCGACAGTATCAGGTAATTTTGTCTTACATATTGATTATTCACCAGATAAAATCTAAATAGTTTCTAATTTTGTATCAGAAAATTCTTTTGAGCAAAATCCATATCAGGTGGAATTTGAACAAGAAATGCCCCCAATGAAACTACTCCAATTTAAAATTTATGAGCTATTAATTGAAAAAGACGATTTATTCAAGTTAAAAGAAGATGAATACTTTGTTCCTACACCCAAATTTTCTACTTCTTTTTTTAATGAACACCTGGGCAGTTTCTCTTTTTCTTTAAATCCAAATACACATAAACTAAGGTAATATTTAATAAAAATAAATTTATTGCTAAAGTGTGAAACTTAAAAACTTTATTATATATCCAGAAAAATATCTATTATTGGAAAAAAATATTTGGTTATATTATGGAACAACATAACTAATCAAATAGAAATTTATTTTGAAGAAAAATCTACTATACAAAATGCTATCGAATCAGATCCTCTAAAGATAACCAAAATATTAAATTTATCCAAAGATTCACTTATTACAATTAACGAATCAAAGAAATTGATAGGACTATATGATTTAACAGGAGGAATCGTAAGTTCATTTATTTTTGTTTATTGTGAGTCTTCTTAGATTTCTTATTCATAATTGTTTTATAGTTAAATGTTTATGAATTCCGTGAAAATCAAGCTACTTTCTATCCACTTGTAATAAACGTTCGTCTCTCTAAATGGTATAATAATGAAATCCCAAATATCCAAGACTTCTTTTTTATAAAGAATACAAAAGTCATTTGCTTCATTGAAAAAGATAGACATGCAGGAGTTTACAATCTAATGACTGGTCAATTTCAGCCTGGTATTGTTCAGTTACCACCTAATATAGAAAAAGTCATGAGTACAACAGATGGATCTTGTATTGTAGCCTTTACCAGCAGATCATCCGAAAATATATTCCGTGCGAACATATACCTTAGTTCTAACCTCAGTTCAGGAGTTAAAAAAGGTAATAGTTTATTAACTATATATAGAGAGAAACCTTTTTTAGTGCACTCTATTAGGACAATTAGACAAGTATATTTATAGGATTCTATAAGTTAATAATACCATAGTGCACTGGCTAAATATCTCCATTTTTTGGTACTCCAGTTAAAATACCCAGTATTTTATATTGATAATACCTGGGCATTTTGTATGTCATTTTTCATACCGTATTTACGCGAAATAACGCACAGGGGCGTTTTCTAGAATAATGGCCCGAATTAAGCTTAATTTAGGCCAAAATTTGTAATGGCGTAAATACGGTATTAAACACGCATTGACTGCTGCGCTACATATATTTATTCGTACAAAGTATCCCTGATACAATATACCTATCGCCAAACAAGATACTTGCGAGTATTTTTTTTTTAGTGAGTACTTTGTATTAGTGCACTATGGCGTATTTTGTACTGAACCAATATGCAACAGATATATATCATTTCACCAACAGCTAAGTTCACCGACAATTAATTCATTGAAAGTCACTTCACTGACAATTAATTCACCGACAAGTTCATTTCA